AGTAATAATTACAAAAAACGTTAAATTTAATAAAAAAAGCTTTTTTTAAAAGCAAGCAAAAAAAAAACCCGATTAACGTAATTATTTACAATTTGCTAATTAAATACAACAAAACGAAAAACCCGCTTGCAACCCGAAAAAAAAATGTTAATGCGCTAAAGCTTTTTTAATTAAAAAAGCTTTAAATACCCATTTTTGCTACTAAGCATTAAAATTAAAAATTGGGGGTAAAAAAGCTAGGTTTTATCGTAACCATAAAAGCTAAAGCCGCAAAAAATTCGGCCAACGGGCTAAATTTAAACGCGTACAAATTTTTAATTTTAAATATTTTAAAAAATGGTTATAAAGCAAAGCAAATGCGTAATACAAGCTTTTTATATATAAGCAATTCGTATTATGGCTTTATACGGCCCGGGAAAAGCGATAATTTTCCGCCGGTAAAGGGTAAAAGTAATAACGAACCCGAAAAACAATTTTTAAAACCGTTAAAACTTGCTTTATTTTATAAAATAACAAACCGGTTTTTGCTTACCCCAAAACCGAATATGCTAATTGCAATTACAAACGGTATTTTTGCAACGCTTTTAATCGCAATATTAAAAGCGTTTAAAATTTTTAAAAATTTATTTAAAACAAACCTAAACAAGCAAAAAGCGCCGCTTTCCTTTTTTTTCCGGTTAAAAAAGGCAAAAGCTAACTTTATAAAAAAAACAAGCCTTTTATTTTTGTTTAAAGCCTTTTTTTTTAACGCGCTTTTACCGAATTTGCCGATAATTACGTTTAAAGCAATTTGCGCCGCAACGCGTACGATTGCAAAGGAAAAAAAAAAAAAAAAGGAAAACAAGCAACGCAATAATTTTAATAACGCTATTTTTTATTACGGTTTAGCAATAACATTTAACGTTTCCAATTTAAAAATTAAAAACGTTGCTTTTAAAGCAAACTTAATAAACGAAAATTAACAAACCTTTTTCGATACGTATTTATTTAATTAATAAACGGCAATTAAAAAAAGTAATTTTAGCTATCGCTTGGTTTACAAAATAATTGCAATTACCGTAACAAAAATATTAAAACGCAATAACTTTTAAAAAAACAAACGGTTGCATCGAAACGAATTACAATAAATTTTGAAATTTTAGCAAAAATTTAATACGTATTTGCATAAAAAAAATTTAAACAATTTGATTTCGGAAAAATTAACAAATTATTAAAAAAAAAATTTAAAATTTTTTTTTGAAAAATTTGCTTAATAGCAAAGCTATCGATATTGCTTGGGTATTTATTTATAAATTTAACGAAAACGGTTACGTTACAAATTATAAGTTCCGCGCGGTAATTAAAGGTAATTAATAACTTAACGGTTTAAAAAAAACTTACGCTATTACGTTGTTAAGGGTTAATTGGTGCAAAGGCGGGTGGTTACCGGGTTACGGGCCGAATGCGGTATTTCCTTTGTTAAGCCTCCGTAAATCTTTTACCAAAAGTGCTATCGCCAACAAAAATTGTTCTTTTTTTAACCTTCCTTTCCCTTGTACCCTTTCGGGCACCCGGGGTTAGTTTTTTAAATCCTTCGCGTTCCAAACGCTTTCGTGCAATTTAAGCTTTACCTTATTTTTTAATTTCGCCATTATACTTTGGCCGCAATACCGGTAGCTCGCCGGCATATCCCCGGGGGGTCCGTGCCCGGCTGGTTGCTAGCGCCTCCTTTTTTTTTTGCCGAACGGTTTTGCCCGTACATTTAACGCTTTCCGCTTTTTGCCGGGCGGTTTCGCCCGTACTTTTAATATATTGCTTTTTCCCGATACGGCTTATTCCAAACCGTTTGTACCGCGCGTGCAACCCCGTAAGTAACCGGTAGCTTACGGTATCCCGCCAAGCCGCCTTAATGCCCGGCAACGTTTGGGAAAACCGGCTGTAAAACTTTATAGCATTTGGAAAAGTAAGTCCGTACCGGCATATAAAAAGCTTTTTTTCCCGTTCGAAATTACAAGCCCTTTTTTTTTCCTTTTTGTGCATTTAATAACCATTTTAATAATTTTAACGATTGTAACCGTAAATAATCGGTATTTAGCCGTTCTTTTTAAATATTTAAATTTAACCGGTAATTGTAAATGTTATTTTTTGTACCCAATTACGTAAAAAAGGTAATATTCTTTCGGGTATCCGCTTTGGGTTTTTTGGTTTTAGCCAGCCCGTTGGCCTTTTTTAACAACCCCCCGGTATTTTTTTAATTATCGTGGTTTAATTGAATTTAAATTCGGTTTTACCGGAATTTTTAATCCTTTAAATCCTTAACGATTGCTTTGCCGGTAACTTTTTGGTAAGCCTTTTAAATATTGCGGGTTTATCGGGCCCTTTTGCGCTTGCAACCTTTTAAAATTCCCGCAAACGTTTTGCCGGTAACTTTCCGGCGGGCTTTAATCGCTGCGGCAAAAAAACCTTCGCCGAAAAAAAGCGTAAAGCGCGTAACGAACGCCGCCGCAACGCTTTCGATTTTAATAAACCTGCCCCCGAAACGAACATTACCTTTTTTTTGCTTTATATAAATATTTGCAACGCGTTCCCGTTGCAAAAGGTTATCGATTTTTAATAAAGCGATAATTGGAACTTTATTTATTTGCCCCTTTTTAAAAACAATTATACGGAGCGTACGGTATTTTGTAGCCGTTGTTTTGGTCGTTAAGCATATTAAAACTATACCGTTAACCCCCGTATGCCGATATATTCCGATAATTATACGGGGTCCTTTAAATGTATTTATTGCAAAAACGTAATCGGTAACAAAGCTTGCGTTAAATTTCCCAAATGGTTTTAAAAAATGGCCCAAAACCTTTACAAAATTTTAAATACCGTTTATAAACGATTGCTTAAAATAATACCGGAATTTTTTAAAAAGCTTACTAAAGCTTAATTTCGCGCCCGCAAAGCTATCCAAAAGGCTAAATCCTTTTATACCATATCGGCCGAACAATTTGCGCGCTATAAACGTTAAGCCGTTATCCAAAAGCGCATCCAGCGCAAAATTGCTAGCGCTATAACATTGGAAATTATTTAAAACATTTTTTAATAGTTTTACGCTATCGCCGTTTAAACGAAAAGGTAAGCTTAGGTTTTGGTTAGCATCGGTAATTTTTTTAACAAAGTAAAAGCGTTTTTTAAGCGTTTCGAAAAAGGTATGGTTGCTTTTTTTGGTAACATTACCGCTAGCTTTGTTACGATTGCGGCGCATTTAAATATTTAGGCTTACAGCCGCGCGGTTCCCCGTAAGGGTGCGGCGTTTGTATTAACGCCGGGAAATACCGTTTTCGGCGTTAATAACTTTGGCGGCAACGATTGTAACGCTAGCGAAAAAAACGTAATTTTCGGAAGTTTTGGTTCCTTTAAATACGGTATTTAATCGATTTTTTTTACATATTTTCCTAATTAATTATTGGTATTCCTTTTTTAAAGGGTGGTTAGTTTTAAATTTTTTTCGTTAATTTATTATAATTAAAATTACAATTTCCTTTCGTTATATTGCCTTTACAGCATTGCGAAATTCCAATATCCTTAATTACCAGCTAGGTTTTAATGCTTTAATAAATAATTTTAAAATGCTTTTTTTTCGCTTTTTAATGGGTTTAAATACCGCCGATATGCATTTGCCGCTACCCAAACGCTTAAGCCCGTCCGCCGTATTATTTGGAGGTTTTTTTATTTCCTTTCCGGGCAAGTAATAATGTTTTTTACCATAACGTACGTTTAAAATGCGGTAATTACTTTAGCGTATTGCGTTAAGCATGCCTTTTACGGGCTTTCCAAAATGTATTACACTTTGCATGTTTTTTAAAATTTAAATATATCGTATTATTAATTTGGGGCGTTTCCCGTACTATACCGTCCTTACTTAATTTTTTGTTTATAAAGCACAATATTTTACGGTTATTACAAACCGCTTACGGGTTTTTTTACGTTTTTTTCCGGTGGCTAACCGGTTCGGCACGTTAAAACATTTTTTTAAGCCATTTTTTTAGCTTTTATTATTCTTTTTTTGTAATACCCCCGTCCTTTCCGGGTATTTACCCGCTAAGGTTCGGTATTTTCCTTATTTTATAAGTTTGCTTTTAATAGGCTTGCTTTATACGTTTAAATAATTTTTTTCGTAATATCCTTTTTTAAAATTTACGAATTTTCCAATTCGTTGTAACCTATCCATTTAACCAAGTATTTTTATTTTTGCAAAGGCCTTTTATATTTTAGCAAAGCCTTTATTTCGAAGCAATCCTTTTTTTTTTTTGATTTTTAAATTTTTATTTTTTGGTTTTTTTGCCGGGCTTTTTTTTAAACGCCCGCAATAAATTTGCCGGAAATACGTTATATATCCGGTAATTTACCGAAAGTTTTAACCGGAACGCCAAACCGGTTAACCC